CACTGAAATGATCTGCTGCCTCCCTCCTTACCTACCAAACCTCCGCTGTCACCCTCCTCCTCCTCCCTAAACCTCTGCTGATGTTTTCTGTCCTCTTACTCTTGAGCTCCTGAAGTTTCCACGCAGCACCTGGTGCTGGCACTTCCTTATCCCTCTCCCCAAACAAGTGCTCGTCAGGGGCCCTAAGCTGGCTCGAAGTCCAGCAAAAGCTGTTGGTCTGCTCTGGCACACACTGTATGTACCTCGCCCTGTTGTATGGTGCAATTCACCAAATGAAAAATGCCTCCACGCTGACGGTCTGGATTTAAAAATGATAAAATCACCACCACCCTCCCCCAAACAACCCACCTATTGCAAAGCATTTTTCACCAAGTACTAATACTTAGAAGCTTTGCTCATAGCCAGCCCCATTTGCTACTGGATTCCACGTTCAGATTCATTAGCAAGCTGTTTTTCAATACACTTAATGTGTGTCCCTCTCATATTTTTTCTCTCTAGTAGAAGGGTTTATTTTTAATAAGTATGCCTCACAGAAGAAACTCAAAGGACTTGCAGTCTCAAGAACAGCTTCCATGCATCTATTTCTTCCTTCATGGTCCCAAATTAATGCAGAGCCATTGTCTGACCACTTGGCTTAGGCTTCCTTGGCCCATCTCTCACACCCTGTTTCACCTTTTACGACTGGAACTGTACTGAAGATCATTGCTTTCAAAAGTACTCCAGTTTTGCAAGACTCTCTTTCACCTTTTACGACTGGAACTGTACTGAAGTTCATTGCTGCTTTCAAAAGTACTCCAGTTTTGCAAGACTCTTAAAAACTAACGTTAGTTGCTCTAGTCCATCTGCAGTGTCACAAGAAAGGACAACATCCTCCTGGTTTCTTTCTCATGTAGCCTAGAACGCTCCACTGTACCAGAGCGACCGTGTTATCTTCTCCCCAAGGCCAGTTTAAAGCCCCTGGGCTAACCCAGTGAGTTTATTGTTAGGTGGCTGCAATGAGCAGTGCTGAGCCAGAGGATCTCAAACTTTCTGTCCCCACAGCACTCCTGTCCCATGCTCTCCCACTATCTCCTGTGTAGCTCTGGCCCAACCACTGGCTTCCCCTTACACCTGTAGCCTCATCTTGTCTTCTTCAATGGGCGGGAAGGTTATAAATAGACAAGAAGATGGATGAAGTGGCCCAGGTTTCTCAAAGACCTCAGCATCCACAACTGAGGCCAGAGCAAACGGCCTGCTTTTAGTCTCTTTTTTTATTTTAAAGTGCCCAGCCTCAACATACTTATTAACCATGTTCAGAATCGGGTGTAAAGGTTGCAGCGGGCGTATCTACAGATATGGCCCAAACGTGGTGGTGAATACTTATGAAAATCTGACCCAGTTCAGCTGTAATTCTGTTTGGTGTGGGGTCAAGTTCATAGTGTCAGCAACATCAAGGCAAAGTGACCGATACAGAAAAATATGCTCAATGAACTTTTCTTTCAGCTCTGGATAGGGTTAGGCAAAAGAGTAAGGGAGGTACTACAGCATGTATCACTAAGAAGAAAGCAAATAATATATTTTGAATTTCAAATGCATGTTCTACCTGAGAGGGATTTTCCTTTGCAAAACGGTGAGATGACAGCTATCAATTTCGTTGAAAGCCATTTTAGTCCCCAGGCCATAAGTCTGAGTTCCAGGAGCTGAGAGTCTATTTCTGGCTCTGCATCTGACAGTCCACGTGCCTGGGTGAGTCACTCCACTCCCCTTTCACTTTCCTTTTCTGTGAAGAGGGGTTACCTATCTTTGGAAAATGCTTTGAAATTGATGATGAAACTGCTAATTGATAACCCTCTTAAAAAGAGTCCTCAAATGGTAAAGAGCTCACCTCAATACACGTAAATGTGCCACAAAAGACTATTAGCTCGGTCAAAAAAAAAAAAAAATTAGCAACTAAAAATGAGCATGATCCTGTGAAATCACTGATCAGTTTGATCCATCTTCAGCGGTGAACTTGCAATCTTGGTCTGAAAGTTCTGAAACCAGACAATTTCTAACAAGTTAGTTAAAAGTCGGCATGCATCTCTTCTTTCAGCAGTAAGATCTTCCCTGAGGTTGCATTATGAAAGATAATGGCTTTTGATAGGTAACAGCCTATAGAGATACAGGGGTTATTATTTGGGGATTCCTATATAGCAAGAAATTCCAAACAAAGCTGTTACTGCTCTTCATCACATCAGTTTTAAAAATAAATACTGTACTTCTACTAAGGAAAAATACATTTAAGTGTTCACATAGCCTAAGCTACAACAAAGTTGGGAAGACAAGAGAAAATGTAAATTTTTGCAAGCAAAAAACTTAATGGTGTAAGGTGTGTTAAAATGGCTGGATACCAGTTGATCATAATGAAATTTAACCCATCTTAAAACGAAAAGGGACTTTAAATTTGATCCCCCCCCCCTTCTGTGTGTTTAGAAATGTTGAAGTGAAACACGCTGTCAATTTGGACACTTTTTCAAGTTGAGAAATTAATCAAAACCAACCTTTTCCTGCAGAGGTTTCATTTTCAACCAAGTAGGCCTCTTCTGATTAAAGAAGTTGCATAAAAATTCTTAATCATCTCTGACCAGGAGCACGGCTGAAGCTGTTGGGTGATTCATATCTGTTTTAGAGGCAAGTTTCATAATAATCTATAGATGCTGTTGTAAGAATCATTATATGAGTATCTTTGTCCGTCCAGCAACAGTCGTGTGGCCCCGGGGCAGCGTCCTCCCGGCTTTAGAGCAGCCGCTGCTGCAAAGGGGCACCAAACCAGCAACACGCGTCAGCCTCTTTCAAGGAGAGAGAGGAGGGATGGCCAGTTTACCATCCTGTGCTGAAAAAAAAGTGAGCCCTGCAGCAGGTTCCCCTCAACTGTAACTCTGACGGCTGCGATACCCAGTCCTGAACTTTCAGTAGCACTAGGTCTAGGAAAAAAAAACTTGATGAAGTGAGTATTATACTGAATTCAGTATTTTAAAAAGCCTGTGGCTCTTGGAAAAAGCACTTTGCTAGCTCTCAGGCTGTAAGAGCGGATACTCTTGGGCTAACCTGCAGGGAACTTCCTTCCTCGGTTTGTAAAGGAAATAGGGATGTGAAGATACGTATCTCTGCTGTTGTGCCTCCTCCCCCCACTCCAGCACACATGCTTCTTAGTACTGGTGACTTTATCAGCTTTGCTTCAGGCATCATCTCTTGTATTCAAAGTTATCAGATAGAGATGAGTAGGAAAAAAAAAAAATCCAGCTTTTGACTCAAACCCTTAAAATATAAATGATGTAACCCAGAATCCAGCATTACTCTGACACAGATCTTTACAGAAGATCAGCAGCCAAGTACCAAAGCTGGAGGTCAATATTTTACCTTTGAATCACCAGATTTAAAAAGATGTTTCTTTTAGTGAAACCTGCACAACAGCATTATCTTCCTTACAGTTGCATATTGACAGAGCGCCTTCAAGGCAGTTAAATACGCCTTTGTAGCTATGCTTTTAAAATTTTAACTTTTTTTTAAATGCTGTGAAAAATTTTGAACTGCAGAGATAAGATGACAGCATGCTGCAAAGCATGACGCGTGCTTGACAGTTTAATTAAGAAATGAGCTAGCTGGTCCTACGTATTTTTTTTTCAGCATGAAAATGACCGCTTCTGCTGCTTCTACAGGTCATTCTCTGCAGGAAAGTATCATGAGGCCTTTTAGATACCTCGTAGGATTACTGCCAAACCGAATTATACATTTTTGGCACCTTAGCACTAGAGCATTGTGGAGCAAATCCTGCTCCGCATCAGCCCCTGTGGCGGGAGGAGGGATGGCTTGCAGGTAGGTGCTACGGCTGAAAGAGCTGTGGGTCGTGCTGTAGCCTACCCATAAAGACCTGGACAAATTGGGTGGACTGTTTGGTGGATAAGGAACTGGCTGGATGGTCGCATCCAGAGGGTAGTGGTCAATGGCTCGATGTCCGGATGGAGACCGGTGACGAGTGGTTTCCCTCAGGGGTCCGTACTGGGACCGGTGCTGTTTAATGTTTTCATCAATGACTTAGACAGAGAGATTGAGTGCACCCTCAGCAAGTTTGCGGATGACACCAAGCTGAGTGGTGCGGTTGACACACCAGAAGGACGGGATGTCATCCAGAGAGACCTGGACAGGCTAGAGAGGTGGGCCTGTGTGAAACTCATGAGGTTCAACAAGGCCAAGTGCAAGGTCCTGCACCTGGGTTGGGGTAACCCCCAGTATCAATACAGGCTG